GCCTTTTAGCACTAAGAACTATTCCACTGGAAACTCAAACTCAAACACATGGATACAATCGCAGCAATCTTTTATCCCAACTTGTGATTGATGAAAACACTTATTCCACAATCCCTTCGAATTTGGCAACAAGCAATGGAATCTAAACTATGTTCAACACATGAGATGAAGAAGCGAAAGCTTAAATTTAATTACTCGTTAAGAGACCTGCATGCTCCAGAATGTAGATAATGTTGTTCTAAGTTTATTCCACAATCTCAATTCAATACAATAATTGCTGCAGATCAATTATAAAGACAGTGAAAAGACACTGAATAATCACTTCCATCTCTAAATGGATCAAGAATTTGCACATCAAAGACAGAAATCACGATCCTATAATTACAATCTTCGGTTTAATCCAAAAAAAAACATTCGCATTACCATTAAACGAACCTAGTCGAATCCAGCAGAAGAAACAACAACCCTAAATCGTCCAAAGAACATCCACTGCCAAAAATAGTAAAACTAAAATGGACGAAACCAAACGCAAGTACACGAATAAGGGAAAGATAGAGGACCTTAGCGTCGCGGTAATTGATAATAACTTTGCCAGTGCCTTCTTGGAGAACAACGCGAGCAACGGCAGATTTCCGGCGGCCAGTGCCAATCAGCGTTTGCGCAGCGAAGCCACCAGGGAGCCTCGATTTCACATAGTTCTTAAGCTCCGCCGTCTCCACTGCGGAAGTGGCGGAGGCAGATACCACGAGTGGGGAATTGGATTTCGAGTGGGAAATTACAAGAGATTTTGAGCGTGGAAAGGACAGAGCGTTTGGTATCTGTGATACTTGGGAAGAAAACGAGAGAGAAGAGAGAGAGAAAGCGAGGGAGGACACAGAAGTAGCCATTCTCGTGCTCTATCCAGCTTCTCCCAAAAATTGAAACTGCGGTGGATGTAGAGAGAATGGTGAGCAGGTGAAAGGGGATAATGTGTGCGAATTGACCATATTGTCCTCGAATACTTGATAACGCCCAATTCTCAATTTACTCCATATAAAAAAAGTAATTTAACAAAATAATTGTAAGAATAATTCGATAATTCTTAATATTATGTTTGAAATACTTTAAAAAATCATGTTTTTAAATAAAATCAAATTTTCTATAAATATCTTTCAAAAAATTCACTATGATAATTAATAAAAAATCACTTTAAAAAACCAAGCTAAAATATTATGTTATGGAGGGGGACTACGTTAAAATATTAAAGATATCATACGGAACGAGTAGGGTTTATGATAATACTATAGTTTGTGTTACCAAAAAAAGTAGGCGAAAATCTGATTTCCATTGAACTAAGCACGCCTGCTGAAGGATTATACAACCATGAGTTGCCATACAATATATGGATCAATTATTGAACAAGACCTGCCGATGGAAATGGCCCCCAAAGAATTGTGAATTAAACTGAGACTGAAAGCAAACTGTAAAAGAATGCGATTCTTTCTCTCTTTACATTCTGAAAATCTTTAAAATGGTCCGAGGTTAGAGAATTACCGTATACATAAAGAAAGATTTCTCAATTTTCCATCATGTCGTTGTCGACTCAAGCTCGATGTAGCGCCATGGATTGGGCATCGGTTAAGCCGTTCGATTCCGACGTCTTCTGCTTGTCTCTCCATTTGACGTAAACTCGAACCAGAAGTGAATCCATTGTGCTCGAGTCTTTACCTGCCTTGATCATTTCATTCAAAAGCCCCACAGATTGCTCAATATCCCCACGCTTACAGAGCCCGTGTATCAAGGTGGAATAGGTCACAGATGAGGGAGAAATGCCTTCTTCAGTCATTCTTTCCTTCAGTTTAAAAGCCTCAATTGTTCTACCAGCCTTGCAATACCCATCAATCAGAGTATTGTATGTAACTGCAGTGGGTGATAAGCCCTTCCGAGGGAGTTTACGGAATAGGCTCAGAGCTCGATCGAGATTACCCGACTTGCATAAACCATTTATAAGAGCATTATACACATAAATATTAGGAACAAGACCTGCCTTTATCATGTCATCTCTTAAACAAAAGGCTTCATCGACTTTACCAGCAACAGAACATGAATGGATTAGGGAACAAAATGTGTAATTATCGGGATGAAAGCCTCGAAGTAACAGATCGGACAAGATTCTTCTAACATCATCGATCTTCTTAAACTTGCATAGCCCTGCAATTGCAACATTATATATGATATTGTTTGACAGAGGGATGCTCGTGGCATTTGAGCCAAAAGAATCCATAATTTTCTGTGTTTGAAGATGTCTTGGACCAGACTTGGTCAATTCAATAGAACATGAACGATCTACAACAGGATCAATATCTGCCATTTGATGCAAAATCAAACTTGCTTCGTCGATCTTACCAAGTCGATATAGACTACTGACAATTTTGCTGCCAATAATAATATTTGGTGCAATCCCTTTGTCGATCATCTCAAAGTATGCACTATATGCTTTGTCCATCATCCCTTTGTCACACCAACCTGCTATAAGTGAGCCATAAGTTACGACATTGGGAGATAGATCCCGGTCCGCCATCTCAGCTAGAAGACCACTCAATTTGTGTAATTCTTCAGATTTGAAAACACCAGTAATAAGAGAATTGTACATTTCAATGGAAACGCCGATTCCCTCTCGTTCAACCATGTTCTTCAATTTTAAGGCTTCTACCATATTTCCAACTTTACAATATCCATCAATTAAAGTTCTATATGTTATTCCATCAGATGGACAGCCTAGTTCCTTCATCATAAGAAAAATCTCTTGTGCTTCCATTAGTTTCCCCATCTTACAAAAGCCATTGATCATGGTATTATAAAGAGTTGTACTACTTGCAAAACCCCTCGACAATACGACCCTCCACATCATCATAGCTTTATCAAAAGCGCCTACTTTGAAAAATGCATCTAAAAGTGTACCATAACTAACCTCATCCGGGGCCACGCCTCTTTTCTGCATTAAGTTCCAAATCTGTAGGGCATTGTCAGCATAACCAGCATGGCAAGAACTCTTGAGAAGCGTATTATAAGTCACAACAGTCAAATTAACTCCTTTTTCGTGCATCTCATTACAAAGTTTGAAAGCTTCATTGAAATTTTCTTGTCTACAAAACCCATCTAGAAGAGTGTTATAGCTATAAGAATCTGGTCTCAAGTCCCAATCCTTCATATCAACCAGCAGTTCTGCTGCTTTTTTAACATGACCAAGCTTACAAAACCCATTAATAATTGAGTTGAAAACTACTGTATTCATTTTTAAGCCTACTTTCAACATTGCATCCCTTAGTCTAAGAGCATCGTCCATTCTACCAGCACTACTATATGCATGAATTAAAACTCCATAAACATGCTCATCAACAAACAATTCTTTCTCCTCCATGTACCTGATTAGCTTCTCAGCATGCTCCATCTGACCTCTCTTGCAATAACCTTTTATCAACAAAGTATATGTTATGGAATTTTCAGAGACGCCCCTTTCAGACATTAACTTCAACACCTTTTTCGCTGCGAAAACATCTCCTTGACTGACATATCCATCAATCAAACTATTGTAAGTTACTACATTCGGTTCGCAACTTGACCTCTCCAATTCTTTCACAAATTCGAACGCTTCATCCACTCTTCCTTCCTTACAGTATGCATTCACCATTATTGTGTAACTAAAAATATCGGGAAGGACGCCTAATGCAATCATTTGTTCATAAACAAGCAGAGCCCCGGATGTTTCTCCGTTTTCGACCAAATTACTCAACAAGCTATTGCAGGACCTCAAACTTGGAACACGACCACACTTCCCCATATTGTCAAACACTCGCAGTGCAAATTTTGTCATTCCCTTCTCGGCATAAACCTTCAAAATCATATCAAAAACCGTAGGAGAAAACGAAAATTCTTTATAAACCCTCACAAGCTCGTCCCATACTACACACGCGGTGTAATTGTTCTTGCATAGAACCACAAGTTCATTCAAGTACACCCTAGCCTCTTCATGCATTCGGGCACGTGATAGTATGTGAACAATCTTGCAATAGGAATTGATATTCGGTCTGAATTTTTGTTGACTAGAAGCCAATTTAAAGAACTCCAAGCAAGCATAAGGATTTAACCTGAGATTGCGAAGCACTGAATCCATCAATTCATCGGAAAAACTAAAGGAGAGCTTGGCAAGGGCATCGACTCGTCGAAGAACTAGAAGACGAGAGATTCGATCAACCAAATCCGATTGGTTCAGCTTCAATTCGTCCCGGAACTTCCATTGAAGAGTTCCAGATACGTGAATCGACTTCCGAAGAAGTAGACACGAATATAAGCGATGAATTGATGTCGGAAAGAACCTTATCATTTTCCGTCACGACGGAACCGATGAACTGAAAAGAAAGCTGCTGATGAAGTTGAATCCGCAGCCTCATTGCACTAATAGCTTCCGCATAACTGGCCATTATTTCTGTTTCAGAAAAAGCATCATTCCGTGTTCATGGAAGAACACAAACACTAGGGCAAGAATTGGTTTCTACTCCGCGTTTGCTTCGTGGCGCCATGGCGCGCTTGTTGTGGGCTTTTTCTAGTTTGAGCCCAATAACTCGATTCTATTATGGGTATGCTTTTATTTGAGCCCGTATCTTGACCCATTATTTAGCCCAATGGCGTCCTTGTTGTGGGCTTTTTCTAGTTTGAGCCCAATAACTCGATTCTATTATGGGCATGCTTTTATTTGGGCCCATATCTTGGCCCACTATTCAGCCCATGCAAAGAGCGGTATTATTATTGGGTCACCAATATAACATTTTAATTTGGAGCTAAACTCATGAGATTTTGTAAAAATCTATATAACATATTTACTATTAAAATATTAATATTCCAATTGAAATAAACTTTCTCATATATATATATATATATTATTTTATTTTTATTTTTTTTGTCAAACAAAACTATTGAAACCCTAATTAATCAAAATGGGGATTAAAGAAGATGGAAGGGAAGATTGGTTATTGACATTCAAATTTAGTACACAAAAAATGAATATATTCCTCTATGTTCATCCCATTATTTTATTATTATTTATTTATTTTCAAAAAAAAAAAAAAATCTATATAACTTCAGCTCCGAATAGATTCCTCCAACGATGAATGGAGGTTCAAGAATCGATTGAAAATGGGGTCTGTAACAAATCGTAGGGAGCCCAAAGGGCGTCCAAAGGGCAGGGCCGGTTCGCGTCCAATCGAGCCCACGGTTTTCCTTTGCCACTCCAATGCAACAAACTGACCGGACCCGGGTGCAAATCCCTGCAGAGTCCTCTGATATTGTCGCCACCGAGCCCGTGCTGGTTCCACCTGTGATCCACCGGAGAAATCCTCCCGCCGAACACCAACAAAAACGGAGGCAACGACCCCAATTCGTAGATTCTCATTCTCTTATGCAATTCCATCCATTCCTCAATCTTGGTCGTGTAGTCCCCGGCCCTCCACCGGTCCAGATCGATCACCATAACACCCGTGTTGAAGTAACACGCCTTCCGGTTCGCGAACGTTAAGGACAAAGACGGGTTGGACCAAAACGACGGCGTAAAATAGGCGGTGAAATTGGCGTTGCAGTACTCCGGCGCTGCGAGGACTGACTCGCCGCCGAGTGGATGGGTGTTAGATAAAACCTGAGTTTTACCGTTTTTCTTATTCACACGATTTCAGAAAATCGTGAGTTTGACCATTTGACAAATCACGTCGAATGGATCACCAGAGTTTTAGAACGGAGTGGCACAGATTTAGTTGGCCATTCTCCAGCCAATTTTAGAATTCCTTTTTACTTTAAATAGGAGAATTGTTCAGAAAACAAAACAACCTCAACGCAGTCAAATTCAGAGTTATTTTTTTCTCTCTCCTTTTTGTTACGCATTTTCTGAATTTCCTCTAAATTCTGTGAAAACCATCAAGTGGTATCAGAGCCAAGTTGAAGATCGGTGTATATCATTGTAGAGGAGCCAACCTATCAACAAACAAGTTGAATAGCTCAAGTGGTTAGAGCTTTGACCTAACATCACTAAGGTCTCAGGTTCGAGTACAAGAAAATGCGAAGTGCAAAAACACACACATCGTGGGGCCCATCTCGGGCAGGCTCACTCACTCCTCCACGCCGTCGTCGTGTGCCGACATCTCCATCACCGCCGCCACGAAGAGGGAGACAACGACTGCCGTCGTTCAGTATCCAATATTGACAAAGTCCAATTATAACGAATGGATCTTGTTGATGCGCGTCAACCTACAGGCGCAAGGGTTATGGCATGCTGTTGTTGAGCCAGAGGAAGGAGAAACGATTGAGTACCGTGAGGATCGGTTGGCGTTTGCCGCCATATTACGATCTGTGCCCCCAGAGATGCTTGCGTCTCTCTCCACCAANTGCGCGTCAACCTACAGGCGCAAGGGTTATGGCATGCTGTTGAGCCAGAGGAAGGAGAAACGATTGAGTACCGTGAGGATCGGTTGGCGTTTGCCGCCATATTACGATCTGTGCCCCCAGAGATGCTTGCGTCTCTCTCCACCAAGCGCACCGCGCAATCGGCCTGGGAGGGAATCAAATCCCGTCGGGTCGGTGTACAGCGAGTGCGGGAATCCAACATCGAGCAGTTGCGGAAGGAGCTCTCGGAGATCCGCTTTAAGGACGGTGAATCTGTCGATGATTTTTCAATGCGGATCACGGGGCTCGCCAACAACATCACCACACTCGGTGGCAGCATCAGCGAGACAGAAATCGTGAAGAAGATGCTGCAGGTTGTCCCTNTGCAGGTTGTCCCTGATCACCTCGAGCAAGTTGCGATTTCAATCGAGACATTGCTTGACGTGAACGACCTAACGGTAGAAGAGGTGACCGGAAGACTGCGTAACGTCGAGCAGCGGAAGAAAAATACTATTTCAGCTGTCGACAAGGGGGGTCGTCTACTCCTCACAGAGGAGGAATGGCTTGCACGTCTAAAGCTCCGTGACAACACCGGCCAGAGCAACGGGTCCTCCTCCAGCCGCAAAGACGGTAAGAAGCCATGGATCTCCCACGGGCGCATGCGCGGGAAAGATG